GTGTGTGTGTGTGTGTGTGTGTGTGTGTGTGTGTGTGTGTGTGTGTGATGTGTGTAAGGTGCCCCTGAGGTCACAAGAGGGCACAAAATCTGGAGTTGGAGTTATAAGTGATTGGGAGTCACACATGGATTCTGGGTGACTAACTCCTGACCTCGGGAAGAGCATCAGGTGTTCTTAACCACAGAGCCATTTCTCCAGACATTAGCCTCAGTGTTTTATAATTTGATAAGATGATGACTGTATGAATTGGAGTATTTGTCAACATTCCTCAGGACATACATTAATTTTGTCTTAAGAAAATGAAAGTAAAATAAGCTAAAAATTAAACGATATATGTAGCATTCTAGATGATGCTCAAAAACTTAACTTGAGCAAAATAAACCAGAGATAACTGGACTTACATATGTCAAGGTTGCATTGAGTTTGCTTTTATCCATTGAACAATCAGCAATGTTAGATAAAGGTGGCTTAATTCTCTTCATTTATTGAATATATTGTCAATATGAAAAAAATCGCTGTGGTAATGTGAACCTGACATTTATCAAAAGAACTTTATCTTCATGACTGCACACCATTGTGGCAGCGCTAAGTATCTTAGAAAAATTCAGAAGTGTTTAAAAACCTCACAATAACAATTGCAATACTTCTTTAAACAAAAGTGTTTTTGATTCCATGTAATGCTGTTTTTACAGGGCAAAATGTTGCTTCCTCTTTTTTGTTTAGCAGTATTAAAAGCCTTTCATTTTCTAGTGTTCTGAAAAGAAATGACCAATACAAAATTTAAAGCTAGGATTATGAAACAAATGGGTTTATGTTTTGAGAGTTGATGAACTTTTATTTTTTATATTGGACATACCCTTTGATTTAGAGTAATAAACGAAATCCTAAAATGTGTTTTGCAGGTTATCTAACATAGTAAGAACAGGTGATCCCACACAGTAAGGACAGGTGATCCCACATAGTAAGGGCAGGTGTTCTCATATAGTAAGGATACATGTTTCCACATAGTAAGGATTTTTTCAAATTCTGAAAACATCCCATTTTACATTTTGATTTGTAAAGGAGTTTTATGATATTTTTCTGTGAAATACATATTATAAGTTGAGTCTAGGGACAGCCCTACTAATATAATCACTCCATAGATAGGGACAATCCAGAAAGCAAGTACCTCCAGCTTAAGGAAGTTACTTAGAGTGCTTTGTGCTACCTGTGCTCCCCAGTCAGTAGAAACATCAGGGACCGACAGCTGCAACTCCTCTCTCCCAGCCCACTTCCTGATCATGGTCACTATCTCTTGGCCTTGGATGTGTTAGGTATTTCTCATTATTTTTTCAATTGTTTCTGTAATGTTGTCACCAAGGATAAGTTTATTAACTGTCATCATCATCAGAATTTAAAATAACATGTCCAAGACTGAAAATTTCTATAAAAGCGAATTAATGTTCACACATTGTGTGTAGATCACTTGATATTCTTTTGCTATTAATAACTCAATTATTCTCTATCCTGTTT